GCCATGCAACCCAAATGGACCATGCCGGGTCGGGTCAAGTACATACCAGAAATAGTTATGGACTTAGACACCTTATCCAACAGAAGGTGTGTCCGAATCCCTCAAACCAGGGCTCTGATACCAACTTGTAACATCCCAAAAATACGAGCCAAAAATTTCATTTTTAAAACATATACTTTGCAAAACATTAGAAATAAAACATTCACCGATCATCTCATTTAATAAAAGATGTCACGTGTCTGGAAACCATTTTATAAAACATAATAATTTCAGAGTACAAATCCCCAGGAAGATCTCATAGTGCGGAATACAAAGCATGTATGTGATGTGCCACTACCACGCCAGCTCATTCCTCTTCGAAGAAGAGGTACCTGAAACCAAAACTATAAACCGTAAGCACGAAGCTTAGTGAGTTCTCCTACTGTACCACATACCATATAACCACATAACATACATATATTGTCAGGCATAACTAGGTGCCCGACCTACCCCTTCGGTCCTCTCGACCGGATACTGACTAGCATATCTGGGTGCTGGCGTCCCCTTTGGTCCTCTCGACCAGATGCTAACTAGCATATCTAGGTGCTGGTCTCCTCTTCGGTCCTCTCGATCGGATGCTGGGGACTATTTCACCCATACGACTACCTCATAACACATATCACATAATCTATCTAACATGGCTGGCCATGACCGCCCCTTCGGCCCTATCGACCGGTAATCTGGGGACTATCTCCCCCTATTGTCACTAGCACATAGCATCATATCATACTAGCACATAAACACATCACATGTACTAGCAACCCTAGATGAATATCATAGAGACAATCATCTATCATACAACCCCTACTGGTGGGCCGGCATTGTAGCCGTAGACCCACCGCTACTGGAAGGTAACTCACCTCAAAATAGCTGCTGATCTGCGTGGGAACTGACTACCTTTTGCTGCTGCTGCCCCGGAAATCCTCCGGCTATAATTCCCACAAAACACTTAGTCAAATACTGCTAACCGACCTCAGGGTAAAATGACCATCTACCGCTAACCAAGCCAAAAGTGAAAGTCAAAGTCAACTTCCAGTTGACCCGACTCGCCGAGTTGGCTCGCCAACTCGTCGAGTCCCTATCCATTCGATTGACCATAATCTCGTCTCAACTCATCAAGTTAGGCATTGACTCGACGAGTTTTCCTTCTAAACTAATGTCCAATAGTCCTTCATCCTACTCGCCGAGTTGTATGAACAACTTTTCGAGTTCATCTTCATCCGAAGAACATTCTATGTTGAGACTCGCCGAGTTGTATGAACAACTCGCCGAGTCTGTTCTTGAGGCAAGAAGATTGCCTTGGACTCGCCGAGTCAGGGCATTGACTCGCCGAGTTCCTCCATGAGTGAGTCTGGCTTCCGACTCACAGAGTCACCCCCCATGACTCACGACCCCACTCAGCAACACGAAAAGGGGAAAAAACTCGGGGACTCGCAACTCGACTCGCCGAGTCCGATGAAAGAATCACCGAGTCTTTCACATGCAATTACTATATACTCGATTTTGCTTGAATCCAGCTCATGCCATACATAGATCTGAGTTCTTTGGGCTTGATTAACACGTAAAGTTTCCAAATTTACGTGTAAATAAACACCACTGAAGGTTTTAGGGCTCAAAATGCACTAAAAGAGTAAATCTAGGGCTTTCATGCAATATGGCTCCATAAAGGCAGTAGATCCGACCTCCTAGAGCTTAATCATGCCTTGATCTAAAGGTTAATCAACTTATCACAAACCCTAATTCATAATCAAGCGTGGAAATGGCTCAAGAAGGACTTTAATGGAGCTCTAAGGGACTCTTAACATGAAAATAGAAGGAAGCTAAGTTATACCTCAAGGAATCTCCGAAATAACACCAAGATGCTTGGCCTCCTTCTTCTCCTCTTGATCTACTCTCCTTTTTCTCTCAAAATCTTCAAGAAATCACACCAAAACACTTTAATCTCACAAGGAACGAGGTTAGGACGATATAGGGAGCTCTGAGGGTGAAGGGGGTGAGCTTGGGGGCGCATATGATGGTTTAAATAGGGTGCGAACCCTTGAAATTAGGGTTTCATCAGACAGCGGGGACTCGCCGAGTCCAGAATATGGATTCGCCGAGTCGCCAACTTAAACGCGGTCCATAACCCGGGTCTACTCGGCGAGTCGAGCCTACAACTTGCCGAGTCCAAGGCTAAGAATGCAAAATACTTAGATAAATTTTACATACCATGAACCAGGTGCTACAAGAACAATCTGAATGCTTGATATGAAAAGTTGATGTTAATATAAGTGATTGATTTAATTGATCTGATTGGTGGGAGTAAATGATCTGATCAATCTAAGTAATCGATTGCGTTGATAACTAATCAATTTAGTATAAGTAAAGGATTGATTGACCTATTAATCTTAGTAATATCACAACAAAGTTCATAAATATCACTAATATCATAACAAAATAAATTATTATGATTAATACAACACTAATAATTCATCAAATAGTTTCTATTTAAATAAAACTTCTTTAAAGTGTTAAAATTTCATGGTTTCTATTATTTCACTTGATGTGTAGGCATGAGTTAATAGCTAGGAGCCTTATTGTCGGTCGGTAGAGAGAGAAGAGAGAGAGAGTTAGGGTCATATAAAAACCCTAACTATTGCATATTTGTATGAATGTAGAATTCATTTTAGACCAATCATTTGATAAATATAATTTTAGAATTTTACTAATTAAATTAATTATTATCTAATAATAAATTCCCATAACTATGGTAACTAATTATAATTTTAAACCTATAATTAAGGCATGTATGTAACTACATTAGAAAACCCAAAAAGTCGACCAAATCATTCAGATCTAACATCAGGTGTGTGTTTTCTATGCTTCCGGTATCTCCTTTTTAGTTTCTCTTTCCCCCTTTTGAAACGATCCAAATAAGCTTAAAATTTTGATATATAGCCTCAAGAATGAATCCTTTCTTACATTGATGACTTGGGGTTTGTCTACTGAATCGGCCGTAGGATAATCATAGCCAAAAAGTACCCTTCACTCCTTCCTTCTTCTCCTTCACGATGATTGGTACAAGATATGATCATAGGTTCGACTCCCACCCATTCTTTTTCTCGATGCAGTCTAAAATCAAGAAAAAATGGTGATTCCCACTCCTAAAGAATGAATTTCTGCCTAATGTGTTGCTGCTACTCAAATATGTTTATGGGTTATGCTCTTGTTCTTCTTGTCCAATCCATTTTAGTGTTGTATTGTTTGGAAATCAAACCCATATATCGTAAATTTCTTTCTTTTGTTATGTATTTTGTAAGTTGCTTTATTTTATTTATAATTTCTTGTTGTTCAATTTTTTTATTACTATTGGGGAATAATGGGCAAATTTTATAATTTCCAAATACTTTAATGATGTTTATTGTTGTGTTTAAGAATATTATTCTTTAAGAATAACTGCAATATTATTCTTTTAGAATGGGTTGTAATGTATTGGGTTTTTGTTTTTCAGTTTTGTTGTTTTTAACAACCAATGCATTATTCTTACAAAATGCATGTAATTTTTTGGTCTTTCAAAATAATAACGAACATATCTAGTTGCGTATTGATTTCCTTTTCTCTTGAAAATAATAATTTAATGGTTCATATACATTTACCGGTAAGTGCATTTTTAAAGAATTAACTTTCATTCATAAAGAATTAACTTTGATTCTTAAAGAATGAATTTTAATTCAAAAATGTCTTACTTGCATTACATTCTTAACTATTCTCAGGCAACTAGCATAACTAGCATGAAGCGTTAAGCAAAAACAACTTATTCTTAATCATTCTAAAAAAATGTTTGTTTAACTAGAAATTCAATTAATAATCATTATCAAAAATAGATATCTAATATTTTTAAGAATGTTTCTAACAGCCACCGACTTGAAATTTTGAGAAATCAATACGTTTAAATTTTATAGTTGTCTAATAACTTATTTATTTTTTAAAATGTTTATTTGAATATTTAAATGTTTTACCTTTTTATCATCTGATTTGACTTATTTTTCTAGAATATATTTAATTTTATTTCTCTTACATATTTACTATTATAATTAATTAAGTAGAATTATATAATAAACACTAGTCCATGTTATTGTACCAAGTTTATTGAATTTGTATGATTTGATTGGTAGTATGTTGGTTGGTTCTCCATGATACATATACGGAGTAACTTATCAAAGTGTAACGAAAAAAATATATTTAATGAAAAATTTTCTTTTAAATGGCAAAGGTCTAAATAGCTCATCGGAAAATTAATTATTTTTGTTAAATTGTTATATTTGACAGTCCAAAAAGTACAATCGTAAAATAACTTTTTAGAAAGTCATTTTGAATAGTCTTTCAAAGTTTTTTTAAAAATTTCTAAATATACTTTTAAATAGTTATAAAAAAAATATATTCTTCTAAACACTGTTTTATATCATTTTATATATTTTAGCTAATTTATTGGTTACTTTTACCATACATTCTTTTTTTATCACCTATCTTATAAGGTAATAGCTACTATTTTTCCGTTATCAACTATATTTTTCAGTTAGGACATCAAGCATTACTGTAATCTACTTTTAAACTACTCTTATATAGGGATAAGCAATTTGTATCAAGTCCCAATTCTGTATCGTTACTGAATCGTATCGAATTTAAAAATATGAGACAATATTCTGTACTCCAAAATCATAAAATCCAAAATCACGAAATTCAGGATTACTATCAGTACCGGTACCATTTCCAATACCGGTACCAATAAGGTTAATTCGGTATAGTACTCGGAATTGACTTTCAACCAAATTCGATATTCGGAAAATCATGAATGATATCGGTCAATACCTGCTAGCACACCAAATGTATAAATTGAACCATGTAGTATCTTGAAACATCTTACTTTCATAAAAATCCAATGTACATAATATCAAACACCAAGATATTGTAGCGAAAATTCTCTTCACAACCAAATATGAGTTTAGAAAGTGTAAGTTTTGAATTCCACAACAAATATTCTACATGGAAAATATATTAAAAATAATCATACATTTTTTACCCAAATCAATTTTAAACACAAAACTGCTCATTTCCATATCATTTTGCATAAAATATCTATCGAATACAATTAAACAAAACAAAACAAAACAAATTTACAAATAACTTTTTAAGCTTTTCCAAGGTTCTCTTTCATTCTCATCACAATCTTCCAATTCTACCCCCCTACACCATAAACAACCTATATGTGAAAAGTGAAAACATTCATCATCACATTAACATAAAGATAAAACATATTGTAATGAAACAATGCAATAAAGAAAAAAAAAAAAAAAAAAGTCAAACCTGGTCAACACGTGTTTATCCCATCTTTGCAATCTTTAGTCAAATTATAAAAAGTCTCAACTTGTGTCTTTGCTCTATATAAAACCTCAGTATCCACTGCAACTCTCATATATCCATCAAACTCAACAGGATTTCCACCATTTAAGACACGTGTCTCATTATACCACTCACTTGTATTCCCCCATAACTCCTTATAATCATCAAGCAAATGAACTTTATAATGAGACCTTAATCTATCAAAATAATTATAAAACTTTTCATTTGTAGCAACATAAAGATTCCTCCATGGTTGTATAACATTCAAAAGCTTTACAACTAAATTATCAGGTGACGTGTCATCATCTAAATGAGGCCACATGTCTTTATTTTTCGCCTTTTCACCTCTAACAACATGAACAGCATCAAAATCCCAATCCATTTGTCCACTTATTTCAGATACTATGTTCATTAATCTTTTTGATTTGTACAATGAATGCCATGGTCTTTGAATGTAATTTGAAGCTTTACTTTCACACACTCTATACCAATAGTTTTCAGGTTCAGGGGTATCGAATTGTCTCCAGATTATTGTGGATTTATCTTTTTTTAATTGCATTGGTGTGATTTTGTAAGATGGAACTTTTCTTAAGGGGATTTTTCTTTTGTTTCTCTTTTCGAATCTTCTCCAATCTTTGAGAAACTCTTCTTCTTCAACTATTGAAGAGCTTTCTTTCAGATGTTCAAAGTCGAAATAGAATCTGAAGTCTTTTCCTTCTTCGTCTTTTTCACTTGATGTGTAATCTGATGATAAACAAAGGCTTAAATCCATAACGAATGTGCGATTTAAATACTGGGCTTCACCTAGGGCACATAAGAAGCTCCAAATGTAGTGATTCATGTTCTTACAATAATCCCCTCCTCGTGAATAATATAAATATTTCCCGTTTCTGAAAGATTGATCTGAACCTAGAATTGGAATTGTGTCGTTGATTTCATCATCACGGAAAGAAGAAGAAGAAGAAGAGAAATTGGATCGGATTCCAGTTCTGGTGGAATTGTTGATTCTATTCCTGGGACGACGAGCATTGACACCGGAATGCCATCCTTTTGCTCCGATTACTTTGTAAGTGCAGGAATCGGTGAATCCGATCCTGAACCTTCTGAAATCTCTATACCTTCTCCAGGATTTCTCTTTCCGATTCCGGAATCTCCATGTGACATCACATTCGTTTGGATTTGAGGTGTTGACTGGTGTTTGATAGTCGAGAAACACTATTGATTTGAAGTGTTTTAGGTTGAATTTCTTGATAGCCATCAAAACTCCCCTATCGGAACAGTTTACTAATTTTGTATCATCGCAAGCACCAGAGCTCAAGCTTAGATTCGTACCTTTTTCTTCTGATTTCTCGATTGTTGGGGAGTTTTGTGAGTCGCTTGACTCGACATCAGCTTCGGAAGGAGCTGGACTTGGGCTGAGAAGAGCCATTCCGATGTCTTCCCCGGTTTTGAGGACTGAGTTATCTGTCTGAAACGTGGCATTTTCCACCTCTGTGAAAACCCTAGTTAGGGCTCTCGAAGATTCCCATGGATCGGGTGGTTGGTATGTTATCGCGATTACAGTAAATACAAGAACAGTGAATACAAACACTGAGAAACAGACATTGCTTATGAGCTTTATTAGGTTTTGCCCGATCGGATCTGTCGTAGAATTGGCTTCTTTCATCTAAATCCCAGCTATACAATAAAGAAATTCAAGGTAAAAATTGTTCCTTTAGCATATCGTATTATCATTCATATGATGAATTAGGAAAACTAAGAAGATAATGTAAATGATATCACACAGAAAGAAATTCGAATTGAAAATTTGTATTTCGATGTGCTTACCTCTGGTTTTGATACAGATCTGTAGTTACTCCAGAAGGCGATGTTAATGCATGATCAAGACTTGAATTGCTACAGATCTGAAATGGAGGACAGATGTAGTAGTGGATCTAATGGAAGATGAAGTTAGATGCGTGGAATGAAAGATAGAACACTGAAGTAGCTGAGAAAGATACACTACACCGACTGTTTCGAGTTGAGTAAACACGCAAAAAGCTACTTAACTCTCCAAAAAACAAAACATCCAACAACACCAAGCAAGTGACGTATACAATTCAGGAAGTGACCTTCAACTATTACCTTGTTTACAACTTCTACCCTAAAATACATTTATGTTGTTTTTTTGAAGTATTGACCTTAATGACCAGTTGACCACCAAAAGACAGTGGCGGACCTTAGTGGTGTCCCAGGGTCCCGGGCTACTGCTCCGATGCCGGCACGTAGTGTAAAAAAAAATAATGTTTTTCTAATATTTTTTCTATTTGATGTACCGGCTTAAAACATGAGTGACACTACTAATATAGATTTATTTGGGAAAAAAAATTAGCCTCACCCCTACGAAAATGTTCTGCGTCCGCCACTGCCAAAAGATATATTATATAAGAATCAAACGAGTTCGAAAATTGCAAAAATACGATGTTCTTCGAAGTTTGATACTTTCAAATAGAAAAAGTGTTGTTTCCATAAAAAAAAAAAAAATTGAAAAGTATTGATTTTTGAAAGTAATTTGAATTCTCTGAACATTTTTAATATTTTTCAAAGACTTTTAAGATGACAATATATTTTCGAATAGATATGTCTACGTTGAAATGTTGACATAGTTTCTTAACATTTGGTAAAGAGAGTGTTTAATAAAATGGTATATAAACTTGTTTTTGGGCTCACATTGAATATCAATCACGGAACAATATCAATATGGGGACAAAACCGAACAATTAGTCCATATCCTTTGCAAAAAGTATCAATAACTATAAAATATTTTACACAATAGTCCACATTTCAATTGCATGTGTGTTTGGTCCTTTCATATGTAAATTGATTATATATCTTTTTTTAATTTATTTTATATTATTTAACTAATCTTAATAATAAATAAACAGAATACATCCCCACATCCATCATATTCAAGGCAACTCTTTTCCTCTTTCCTCTTCTACACCATCATTAACCCCCACCCTAAATGCTTCATTTTTTATACACTTCACCCTTTTTTCCTTATATGAAATTTAATCTACCCTTTTCAACACCTATGTATTGTGACATCCCTTATTTTTCATAACCCAAAAAAACTTTTTCCTTACGCTTCTTTGGCAGAAGGATTCTAAAGTGGCCTAACTTCACTCGCCTCCATTTCGGTCGCCTCAGCTTCTGATTTAAAATTCATAACACCTTTATTTGCGAGTACATATGTATAACAACCATAAAATTCGAACCAATTTGAAACTTTTCAAAACACTTAAAATCAATAGTTAATACACCATATTTCAAAAATTGTCTAACATCAGAGTTTTCCTAGAAACATAAACAAATTATGAGGAGCTGTACGATCACGCCTTCGCCTTGTCGCGATCCCCTGATGTACCTGAAACAATAAAATTGAAACTGTAAGTCGGGGCTTAGTAAGTCCCCCAAAATACTGATACACTATATATAACACATATACAAATAACAGCATGAACAGGGTCCACAGCTTTGCATATTGGATTACCCCTGGGCCCACAGTGTGACTCTGGATTGCCTTCCGGGCCCACAACTCACATATGGATTGCCAAAGAGCCCACGGTACGAGTTTGGCATGCCCCACTTGGCCCTCAGCTCGTATCTGGAATGCTCCCGGGTTTGTTGGTTACCGCACGAAGCAGTATCCTCAACCCACCCCACATAATATATCGACATATAAGACAACTAATGCGCATACAGATAAACACATAATAACACATGTAGTCCTACAGATCTACCTAGTTGTCATAGCAACTATCATATAATACTGACTCATACTCAACATGCTACCAACTAATGGGATATTATATCCAATGGGTCGGCCTTGGTGCCTTATACCCCTTGTTATACTGAGGAGACTCACTTCGTAAGTAGTGTTGAAATACTGTAAATCTCTGGTTGCTGACTCACCGGAAATCTCGAACTGTTACATAACGAAATTATTTGGTTAATACCCAACATTATTTCCTTAACTAAGTTTCCTCATTACTCATTAAGTCCATTCCTTTTTGTTGGGCCGAATGCCTACACCAAATCCCTAACTTGATGGTTGAAGCCATAATCCAATATTTGGCCCAATTTACCAAATTGGGCCCAACCTCCTTATTGGGCCTAAGCCCATGATCCACAACCACTAATGGCCCATGACATCTTATTTGTTATGCCCAACAAAGACCCAAACTTCCCTAGTCCATAAGACGGCCCAAAACCCAAAGCCCAAATGTCCAAGGTCCAACAGAGGTCGTACGCGGGGCGTACTCGACAAGAGGTTGACCACCGTCGGGGTGGTTGACCCAATACGTTGGGCGTACCGAAACTACGCCGGGCGTACTCGATTTCTTGATAAAACCTTATTAAGTTCTTAATGGCTTAAGCTCTTGTCACAACTAAGAATTCTAATGCTTTTGTAAACATTAACAATGATAACATTAGTAACTAAAACTTGAAATTATGAATAATGTTTATTTAATAACAACAAAATTCCATCAAACACTCTATACAAACACTTCAAATGGTCAACAAAAGATTGGAAACCCTAAAAATCCCGGTTTAAGTCCATTAGGGACTAGGATTTCCTTATTGGGCCTAATGGACCAATAAGTTTCCAATTTGAGTATTTTGGACTTAGGACCCTTAAATGGGCCCTAATTGGACCCACCTTCATAAAACTTAACATTTTGGGCCATAATGGGTCCAAAATGAATTTATTTACCTTAATGGGCCTTATTGGGCCATCATTGATTCAATTAACTTTCATGGACCATAAATCCATTCTCTTATACAAAATTTGGGCCATGAACCACCCTAAGGACCCAATGGCCCGAAAACCTCTTATTGGACCTTGTGTTTTCGGGCAAAGCCAAGAATAGGCCAAAGTGATATTTCCTTCCCCCTCTCCTTAGCCCATTTTCGGCCCAAATGATAAATAAATAAATAAATAAATAAAAAGGAAAAGAAGTATTATGGGGAGAGTTGACTTTGGGAGGTGCCAGCTCCATATTACCCTTCATACTCCCATGCATGGACCAACATACATCCATAATGGTCATTTCACTCCTCTCTCTCCCCTCTTTTCTTATCCTTAGCTGAAGGTCACAACACACACACACACATTTTCAAATCTTCTCCAAGCCACCTTTAAGATCATCCTCCAACTTCCATCAAGATATCTCAAATTTTGCTTGAGTTTTTAAGAATTCTAGTATTATTAAGGTCACTACACCGACTGTTTCGAGTTGAGTAAACACGCAAAAAGCTACTTAACTCTCCAAAAGACAAAACATCCAACAACACCAAGCAAGTGATGTATACAATTCAGGAAGTGACCTTTAACTATTACCTTGTTTACAACTACTTCCCTAAAATACATTTATGTTGTTTTTTTGAAGTATTGACCTTAATGACCACCAAAAGATATATTACATACCACAGGGACCATTTTTGCAATTTTGTCAACAAAATATAGAGCAAAGAACTGGAAAATTCTATTAAAAAATATGTGTTTTGCCGCTGCCAAACTCGTGGTTTGGACCAAAACCTCAAAAAATACATACCGCAGGGACTGCAATTTTGTCAACAAAATATAGAGCAAAGAACTAGAAAATTCTATTAAAAAATATGTGAAATATAGAGCAAAGAACTAGAAAATTCTATTAAAAAATATGTGAAATATAGAGCAAAGAACTAGAAAATTCTATTAAAAAATATGTGTTTTGCCGCTGCCAGGGCTTGAGCCTGGGACTCTCGGTGAAGAGAGTCGGAAGATAGAATCTTTAAAGAGAGTTGTGCTACAGCGGCTTTTTGGTTGTACTTGTCCAATAGTTTTATTTATATAAGAAAAGTGTAAGTTACAGTTTTGGTCGTTGTGATTTTGCCAAATTTTCAGTTTTGGCTATTGAAAAAATAATAGGTTACGTCGCTGCGGTTTTAACAAATTACAACCTCCATTTGGATATCCATATAAAAAGAATATTTTCCCTTTTATCATATATTTTTTTTTTCTGTAATTTGTTTAGGAATTTTAATAATATAAAATTTAAAAGGATATATTTCAACCTCATCCCTCCACTTGTATTGTTCACTCTCCAAAGGCCTACATTGTTTTTGATTTTTCGTTCCTACCAATGCCACCACTCACACAACCACCTTCATCCAAATCACTTCATTCACATCATTCGCTGGTCACTCATATCGACCATAACCTAGAAACCACAACGTAAACCATCCCAACATCACCTTCTTTATCTCTTTCTCTCCTCCTTTACCACTACCCCTTCCCCGAAAAATGAACAACCCTCTAACGAACCCTAGATCACGTGCGATCGACTTGCATATCCGACAATGGTTTTATCCGATTTGGAAAGCGTAAAACGAAAGAAGAATAGCACACAGGTTCCATTTTGCATGAAATGAGATTGATTCGTTGGAAAATTAGGTTTTATCAAAATAAGTTTTTAATGAAACAAAGGAATTTTCTTATTGTATGGATTTGCACATCAAACTTGTATAATGAAACAAAGCATGGGATGTTTCATCAACTACCTCTCTCTCTCTCTCTCTCTCTCTCTCTCTCTCTCTCTCTCTCTCTCTCTCTCTCTCTCCTCGTGTGACTTATTTTTATTTTTTAAATTGTAACATCCAAAAAATGCTGATAAAATTTTTATTTTTTAAACCATTTATCTGATACAGTAAATTGTTCCAAAACCAAGAGAGTGAATTGTATTTCTCAAACATTAGAGTAAAAAAAATATAATCAATACGGAAAAACCATCAAGGGATGTTATGTAGTCAAGTCGGTCCCTTCCCTTTGAAAATGGAAGTACCTGAAAAATGTTAAATCACAAACCGTAAGCACAAAGCTTAGTGAGTTCCCTAAAATACCACATATCATACAAGTAAGGGGCCCAACCAAACATTCATGCTTTCGGGCCCAACCCATTGTTATGACAAAAGTAATCAAATACATAATTGAACAAACAGAAACATAAATAAATTAAATTAATATACAAAGATTCACAAATCAGAAGAGCATACTTGTATTTGGATGTTTACAATCGTTTCAATAATCGCGAATATAAGTAGAGATTAAGGTCTGCTTTGCAGTGTCCTAA